ATTTATGAGAAGTAATCTTTCCGGAGGGGAAGTTTTTGAACCCCAACCAGCACTTGTGTGTTAACGAGGCCAGGTTTCCTCCATTAAGCCAACCAACACTTGTGTGTTAACAACGTCAGGTTTCCTCCATTAGATTTATTTTACTCACTACTCATTAGCTGTTCTTGTTTTCTGATGCATTAGCAAGATAGGTACGTTGAAGAATAAGAAGAACTCTCCTCAGTATGTGCCATGTTCACTCTGGGTTATAGGCTAGCCTTAGACTTGATTGGAAACCGATATTGCTTGGCTAATTTTATTGAAGGACAGATTTCAATCCATTCTGGATTTTAATCGCCACCTCTTGACTATTAAATAAGTTCCTCAATTGTATGTTCAACTTACTAACTGTTGCTTACTTAGTTTTGTTGGAATACTACTGCCAAAACTGTAGTTTTAACCTTGTTCACATTTATTGTTCTCCAAACATGTTTTGGGATCCTGTAATCCAAGATTAATGAGTAGCTGATCTTAGGTTACATCACCAAGGTATAGAATCATTGTCCATAGGAACTTCCAAAGTCCAAACAAATGAAGCTTGGAGAAAGATATGAGAGGAAGTATGGAATGTGGCGAATCAGTTCATGGGCACAATTGTCGGATGAACATGAATGAACAAAGATGGGCATTCACTTTAAGACATCACCCGTGCATGCCTAACCTCTAAAACAACCAAGAATTCCTCCAAGATAAGAATCACTTAGGAAGTACAATGAAGAGGCTTCAATGTCCCCCTTGGACAGATCCTTCAGATCAAATTTATTGTGTGGCCTTGTAGGGTAAAGCTCTTGAGCCTTCGCCAATTCAAGTAGATACCTAGGAAACTCAGAATCCTTTCTTAAAGTCTTGCTGGAATGCATAGTGTATCAGTTATGACATGGTGGTGTACAAATGCCATGCCAGGGAGTGTATAAAGCTACTTGAACACAAGGTTCAAATAACGGATATCAGTCCATAAACATTGTATTGTATTGAGACTCTGTTACTATGAAAATCACTGGAAATGTATAAAAACGATAAAAAGGAAAAATGCAAAAAGGGAAACAATGAGGAAAAAAACAGAAACCATGGGGCAAAATGGGAAACAGAAAAAAAGGATTTTCTAAATCTTATGATATTCTTAAAAGGGCCTTTGTCGACAAAACTATGGCCATTCTTGTAAAAGGGTATTTTCTTTTTTCTGATGTTCTTAAAATAGTAAGGCCCAATATAATGACCGTTTGTACATCATATAACAGCTGTTATTTTGAATAAGATTCTCTTGATAGAAGGGGCATTATGTTACCCCCAGCATAAATGTTGCACACAACATTTATTGGCAGTTATTTTCATGTACTTGCTGCTATTTGGTTCTATTACTTGAGAAGAGTGCCCCACTTTGGCCTCCTTTATATGCTATTTGAGCATATCTGCTATAAGGCATAGCGTACAACTAACATGTAGGAAAAAAAACCTATCTTAATATACTGCATATTATCATGGGCAAAAGCCTTGTGTGCACTATTCCCAGTACCCTACACCAGGGACCTTATGAGTAAAAAACCTACTTAATGGCAACACTTGGATTGGACTAACCTGTAAAGGCCAATTCCTCCCATACATAGACAACAAGCATACACAACCCAAAAACAAAAAAAGAGGAAAAAGAAAAGGAGGAAAATAGATCGTAGTATGATACATTGTTTCATATGGAGTATCTAAAGTACTTTTTGGCTCTGGCTGTGAATCTCCAAAGGGAAATTTGGTAATCCCAAACTTCAGTCCACAATCATAGAGTTACGGACTTTACTAAGCATGAACTGATGTGAGTTTGTATGCTTTTCATTGTGACAGGCATTTCACTCACTTTCTAGGCTAGTATGATAGCATTTTAAATTTTAGTCCAAGGATTTACTTCTCTCAACAAAGAGATTTTGGAAAGACTGATCAAGACCTAAGCTTGCATGGTATTTCATATCCTGCAAATCCATTAGAGATATTATATCTGCCCTTCTTTACAGTATACTGGACCCTCTAACCAAATTTTACTCTACACAATCTATCATACAAGCTAATCCTAATGAGATACTTAGAAATACCTGCTAAACCAATTATAATGGACTTATAGTTGTGTGATGAGAGTGTTTGGCAGAGAGTGTCCAGAAACTCGGCTTGGGCTCGGGACTCAGCCACTACCCTTACCTAGTTACTTGAGGTACTCGCCCAAGGCCATTACCTAGTTACTCGAGGTACTCGCCCAAGGCCAAAAGGGTTCGGGAAAAGAAGAAACGGGAAAAGAAGAAAAGGGAAAAGTTCCTCAAAATTCATAAAAATTGTAATTAATAGAAAAAATAATAGAATACGAATAATAGAAAAATTATATAAAAAAGTGTGTACACAATGGCTCTGAAATACATGCTCTTAGAGTACACAATGTTTATGAAATACAAGCTCATCCCACATCATCATCGTCAAAGCCCTTTTCCAACTACTTGGGGGTCGGCTACATGAATCTTGGTACACCATTCGATTCTATTAAGGGCCATCTCACAAATAGCACTCTAATACAGAAACATATCCAAAAGGAGCATTGTTTGGGTATAGGGGATTCCATGGTCTCACTATCAGGGAGGGGGGCCACCAAATATCCTTAAGATGGAGGGAGCAACCCCTATCCCAGCAGTGCCTCCCTGCCAGTCTGGTAACCCAGTCAAATTGGCCCCTAAGCCATAGTCGCCAAGGCTAGTCCAGTCCTCATGCTCACCCCCACCCCCACCTTGGCTTTGTCCCTCTCCAACTGGGGTCTCTCACTCACCTCGTAAGCTATGATGCTCAACACCATGAATGGGTAGCAAGCTCAGTCGCGGGCTATGTCGCTTACCACCTGGGCTTTGTTGTCTATAGCTATAGCTTTGTCTTTGGCTATGTAGCCTAGACCTTAGTGGAGCTCCTATCATCTTGCCCCTCAACTCCTCTACCGGTACCTTTTGTAGATCCTCCTGGTTGGTCCCATCCACTTCATCTGACTGATTCGCAACTCTTCGAAGGCTCTCCTTTTTACTATTGGTTCCTCCTCAACCAGCCATTAATCTTATTACATCCTTATTGAAAATGTAGTCAGGGTTGATTGGGTTGTAATGGCTGACCTCCCTCCTTAACCCTTAGCCCTCTCCCTTAATTCAAGATTATAATGGATGTTTACAAGCTTGTGCAGCCTCCCTGTCTTTGACATGTTCCTCTTTGGAGCATGGATCCTTTTTTTTTTTGGGGGCTGGAGGTTGGGGGGGTGAATCAGTGGTGATGACGGGCCCCTACACGTTTTATTAATGATCAGAAAAAGGATTTTACATGTACATCAGTACATTCATTTTACAACGCTTGGAGCATGGATCCACTAGAATGTAATTCAATCTCTCGCACCCTATAATGGAACTGGTTTGGATTAGGATCCTGAATGCATTTTTTTTGAGATAGGGACTATGAGTCAGATAATTCCCAGTATGTCGCTTAATCAATTGGAAACAGTAAGTACAATCACACGAACTAGTTATGTAGGAAATATGAATTATGAAGTTTGAAAGCTAACCTGGGCCCAATTCTCCTTGAGTTTTCCTTGCCGTATTGCTCCCCATGTTACCTTGACCATCTATATAGAAAGCAAGCTCTAAAAGCAAATTCTACGTTCTCAATTTACGTACTGCAGTAAACTAAAAAGCCAGAGCCATTTCCTTGGTTATGTAACTCAGAAAGGTCATGTTAGACTCATCAGAAAAAGAAGGGTCCTCATAGACTTGCTTGATGATGGTTTGGAATCAAGCTCTGGAAAGCAATGAGATCATCTTTTTTTTCCCCTGCTAAGTAAAAGATGTTATGACATCCTGAAAGTTAAGGATCTCTCCGAGCGTTTGCAATCTCAATTCCAACGTTTCGGGGATCTTGCTCCTAACCTTAAAAATTAAAGGACTATATACACTCTTTAAAGTACGGATCTCTTTATTTATAGCTGGCGAAAAATGTAACTATGTTAAAAATATAGTTGCATTGCTAGCTGGCTTGAAAATCATCATTTTGGTCATTACCTTGGTCTTTAAGGTTGGGATTGGGAGAATTGAGATCACTAAACTTAAAAATTGAAATCCTTTGAAGATCCCTTTCCTGAAACGAGGGAACTAGAAATGGAGTGGGACCATCACCTATGTTGGGATATCACAACAATTATGAGTAAAACCATAAATCGCTACAGCACCACTACCAAAATTCTGCAGTTCTCATGTGATGTTTGGAAGGAAAGCCATTGTGTTCAATGAGTGGATCAGCAAATGCAAATGGCCATTCTCAAAATATCTCAAGGATGGACCCATCATTAAAAGAAAAACACTTTCCTGGCGCTAAAAAGAAATTAAGTTTTAAAACTCAATCTAATTTAATCAACTTTGGAGATGATCCACATGCTTCAACAAATACAATTTCTTCTTTTGATGGAACTGGAATGGTTCTTCTTTCTCTTCCTCTAGAAATAGTCATCATTAAACAATCTCTTAAAACGAAATAGAAAGCTCTAGAGTCCTAGCAGGTTAAAAACATGAATGAAGAGGATCAGTTTGTCATGTTTATGTGTGGTGTGACCTTGGGGCTGTGGGTTTTTTATGCATGTTTGTTAGTAATTTTGAAATTCATGGGTTTTTTATCCTGATATATAGCAGGAAAGCTAATACTGTGTATTAGTAATAAGTATATATAAGCATATGACCGCACCCTCCCGAACTCTTGGATGATGCATTATTATTTTGAGTCTTTTTTTGCTAACCAAAATATAATGCAAGTATGTAAGTGAAAACACGTGGTTATTCAAGATAATTTGCTCGGTTGTTGAGACTAAAAAATTTACGTGGCCTTGTTTTTTGACTGGCTCATAGTTAGGATCTCTCTCCTCCCCTCCCCTCTCTTTCACCCCATTCTTATTTCCTTCCATTTTTTTGCAGAATGTGAAGAAGTTCACACTAGCTGGTGAGGGACAGCCACAAACACACCCCAAGGCTGCAAAGGAAATGGATTTGAATTCAAAGGTTGCCAGAGGAACTAGTTAAACGATTTTCAACCTGGGCACACATTTAGTATTGTGTTCATGAGTGACAGTTTTTGATATATGATTGACAGAAATAGCGAAATACCATTCATATTCTTGTTCAGTAGTTCGCCTCACCGGGAAGTAATCTGATGTGTACCAAAAAATTTTGAGCCTGAGCTTACTGAGGCATATTTGGGCAATTCAATTGCACTTTTAACTCGTCTCTGTCGTTACTGTTCTGCAGTTGCCTTAACAGCAGGTTACATGGATGTGAATTGTCCTACTATATATATTTTTGTGGATCGCTGGCTTTTGGATCCAAGATATATATACCCAAACTGTGCGTAGAGAGTTAACAAATTAGTTTTTTTTTTTTTTGGAAGATGTTAACAAGTGTATTGAATGGGGGTGTAAGAATACAAGAGTAGGCCACCTGAGCATTTCAGGGGCTATATACAACAAAAAATGGCTTCTCGTATAATGCAAAAGCAGAAATATGGGAAGGGGTGGGGTCCTTGCAAAAAAACTGAACTCAGCCAGTGGTGTTTGTAGCACCCACCTTGGCGATGAATTTTTTTTCTGGTTCAAAAGATCTCCAAATGATCGTGAGTCCTCGGATAACCTGAGAGATTTTGTTGAAGATGTGGATAAGGGACCCTGGGTCGGAAGCAGCACCCGAAGCCCCGGAAGTAACGTTGTTTGAGTTGCCTTCAATTTCTAGTGAAAGGGATCAAGGTCTGTCAAACAGTTTTGAGCCCCACGGGTAATATGGGGGCTTCGGCTATTTGTGAGTGAGTGGCTCAATGTTATTTGATTCGTTTCGGAGTCTTTTTCGATTTGGTGAGAAAAATAAAGCGATTCGGTGTTTCGGCGGATTTGAGGGAAAATTTTTTTTATTTTATTTAGTATAAATAAATTAGATATTTATATATAAAATATATACAAATGGAAAAAATTATGAGGATTTATAGCCTCACTGAGAGTATGACTTTTAATAGAGAAGAATAACACATCAAGATTCATATAGCCAATCCCAATTAATTGAGAAAAGATTATGATGATAATGATGAATGAGGAACCTAAAATAAAGCAAATAATTTAGGTAAGGTGTCAACTTTATAATGTAGAAGGTGCAATTAGAAAACCCGCAGAAAATGTAGAAGGTGCAATTAGAAAACCCGCAGAAAATATTGTTCGGACTTTGTAAAACCCTCTAATTGATCATTTTGACCTCAAGATGTATGATTCATGAAAATAAAAATAAAAAAAATTTCAAGTTCAGAAAATATTGCATTTTGCAATGTATTATCGTAATTGTCTATTTTCATGATTTTCAAGCATTTATATGAGGGAAAGGTTTCTATACTTCCCCTAAATCATAGAAGATCTATGCTTCTCCTACCATCCCGCCGTCCAATTTTGATCAAGAGAGCCACTCATCGTTTGATCTTAGATCCGACATTTCAAAGTATTTTATTTTTAGGTTTTTTTATAAATTTTTATAAATATAAAATTTGGTATGTGCCATCTTCTCATTAGGGCGAACCTATAAAAAATAATAAAAATAATTTTTTGATAAAATATAATGACCAAAATACCCCTGAAATTTTTAAGGGGTATTTTAGTCATTATATTTTAGTAGAAATATTTCTTTTATATTTTTTGCTAGTGCGAGTTTAATAGAGGACCGGACATACAAAATTTGGTGTTAAAATAGTTTATAAAAAAATAAAATAAAATAAAATAGTGTAGAAACATAACATTGTGATTGGGGCAATCTTAGCCCTCCATTTAGAATGGACGCTTGGATAAGCAGAAGTATATAAGTTTTATGTTGTAGGTGAAGCATAGAAAGCTTATATGTCCACCAAATCTGCATTATTTTTAAATATTTAAATTTATGATTAAGGAAGATACAAATTCTTAGGCCATCAAAAGTTCAACACTAGAACAATAACTTTTGGTACAATTTGGAGGCGTGCCTTACTTCAGTAGTTGTACAAACCAACCCCAAAAATAAAATGTAAATAAAAAATATAAAAGACAATATTATTTATTTGAGATCAGTGCAAAAAAAAAAACTCGAACTACAAAAATTGCATCTCACTATTCTAGAGAAGCTACATTTACGAACTATAAGATATATAATCATTGGTTACGCTTTGTTCTTTCTACTCTGTAAGCTTCATTCATTAATGAAACGATAGCAGCAGATTCACCATATTGGTGCTCGCCCACCTGAAAAACCACTTTCGTTAGCGCAGAGACCGGTAAATTTTTTAGAATATTTTCACACCCCAGAAAACAGATTAATGCAAAATAAAAAAAAAGAGTTGGAACCTTTGGGCTGCCCTACAAATGCCCCAAATGTACAACAATTCTACTCCATATTTGCAGGCAACATATTGAGCAGATTTGAATGTCATTTTAGAGATCCAAATTGTCACACTTAAAATCAGCTGATTTGATGGGAGTGCGAAATTTTAGAGTGCCCCCAACAGAGGGCGTGATCTTGACCTAAAAGAGATAATCATTTTTTGAGATCTTAATAAGATGATTGAGAATACATGTTACTATTTGATACAAGATAAAATTTTGTATATATGTTCTACATAATGGGCCGCATAAAAGAAAACATAAAACAAATATTATATCAAATTCAAAATAACCAAACGACCCTGCTATTTTTAGGGGCCGTTTGGTTATTTTAAATTTTTTTAAAATATTTTTGTATATTATATGGGTGATGGGTGAGGGGTTACAAGGTGGGGAGTTGATGTTTAGCTTACCAATTCTTGCATGTGTAGAAGGGGATAAGACTGCACGTGGCATTTGCTATGAGCATGATCAGCAGGTTCTAGAGTAATCTAGTCATGGAACACTAAAAGGTAATAAAGAGAGTTCTTCGATATTTAAAGAGAATTATTGGTCTTGTGCAAGAAGTCGTGCAATATAAAGATAGATTACTACCACATTCGCAACGAGATCCAAGTGCGAGAGATTGAGATCTTTTTTCTTCCAACAAAGGCTATGTTAGCTGATCTTTTGACAAAAGGATTAATGGCAAATGTGTTTAGCGAGCATACACAAGGGATGGGCATGAGAGAGAGAGAGAGAGAGAGAGAGAGAGAGAGAGAGAGGACAGTTGTATGGCCTTTAAAGGCCAAGTGGGAGATGCTAGGGTTTATGACATTTAAAGGCCTAGATAGCATTTAAATAAATTATTTATAGTAAATTGTGTACTTAAGCGATAGTGTACTGTGGCTGACTGACCTAAGATTGTGCAGTCTATGGCTAGGGTTATGTCAAAGAACTTTAGACCTGGGCATGTGGCATTACTGTTGAGAGTTTATTAAGGATCATCTCTTGTTAAGATTGGAGAGATGCCCAACTATGTTGTTTGTAGGCCAAAGGATTTGCATAGTCTCCTGTGTACGAAGAAAGGGCCTATGAGAGATGGTCAAATTCTCAACAGAACTTTCACACAACATTACTTAGGGCAACCACATTGTTTTGGAAAGAAACCCTATATAGAGGTACATGTTGCATGTGCATTGAGAGAGCCCACTTCATATTGTGTGCGCATTTTGACTTGCTCTTTGGCGGAGAACTTGTAATCCATATACTAGGACTGTGGTTCTACTATTTATTGGCTAACTTTGATGAGCCAATCATGAGTCACCGCACTTGACTATGGGTCATGGGTTTCATCGGGTTAGTTTGGGAAGATATTAGTGGATCATGGATCCTATCACAGGGGAAGAAATTGGTTTCTTTTCAAGTAGAAGACATGAGTGTCATACATTAAATTAGAGCTGGGTGCACTGAGTGGAGATGTGCTTCCATAGTTTCATGTGATCCTCGCATACTAATGAAGCTCAAGGATAAGTTATATAAGAGGGGTTGTCATACCATCCATGCTTCATGGTATGGAACATTGGGCAAGAAAAAATGAGTGTAGCTGAGATGAGGATGTTATGATAGATGAGTGATATGATAAGAAAGGATATAATTCATTTGAGGGAACTTAGGGTAACTCCAATAGGCGATAAGATGAGGGAAAATAGATATAGGTGATCTGGCCATATGCAACGGCTACCTTGAACAAACCCATTTAGAAGGGAGATTTGATTCAAGTGGAAGGCTCTTAAAGGCCAAAAGCAAGGCCCAAAAGAACTTGAATGAAAATAATGATAAGATATATGATGACTTTCAATCTGACTGAAGATATGATCATTGATAGAGCAGAGTAGCAGAACTAGATTCGTGTAGCCAACTGCAAATAGCAGGGATAATGCTCGGACAATTATGACGGAGAACGAGTCTTGCAAGAACTTGAATATGTCGACAATAGATATGTAAACAGTAAACACGTGTTGAAAAGCTTTGTAGCAAGAACTTGAGTAAAGACAAGTTAACATAGCATATGCGAGTAGAACAACGTACATCTCATCTGAGAAGCATGTATTATCCCTCTATGAGAAAAGAATTGTAGGCACACACTGCTCTTAATTGATTCCTAAGCTTTAGCGATGCCCTTTCGAAAGAGTATTTGGTAATCATGAAAGTATGTAGAAAAAAAAGCATTTAGGCCATGGTAGGTTAACATTGGGTACTAGTTATCTTAACATGCACGAAGTTCTTCCCCATAATCTTTTTTATTGAAACGGTAAGAGTAATATTCATTAGATAGTGAAGCAAAGCTCCTAAATACAAAAATACAAGACGAAGAAATAGGGAGGAGCATTCCCTAGATCTAAGACTGACCAAACCTAGAGCACAACAATCCCCAAAACCTCATTAATCCTACACCAAAACTACCTAAGCACCAACCAATCCAAACAAAAAAACTCACACAAGCCTCATCTTCTCAAAACAATACTTCCAAGCTCCAACATCCAACAAGTAGCCGCTAGAGAGCACCTCTGTAAGGACCACAATTTTCTCCTAGCCCAGTGACACGCACGGCGATGGAGGGTGAGGTAGAGGCCTAGCGCCGTTTGGAGCATCACCGTACGTGTATAAGAGCTTAGCACAGTATGTGGTAAAGAAGCAGAGGAGAGAGAAAGAAGACGCATCCCCGCGCATGTAAGGGGGTGCAACGCCGTCTGCGCATCACCGCATGCGTTAGCGGTAACGCCACGTGCGTGGGAACTATCGCCGGCTGTGTAAGATGACGCAGCGCCGGCTGTGTAAAAGAGACCCATTGCCGTTTGTGAATTCAAGACCCAGCATTGGCTGTGAAGTGAGAAAGGAAGGGTAACTCCGTGTACGAAAGAGATCACCGTGAGTGAAATTGGGG